GAATTGCCCTGAGGAAGGTGACAGACGGTCACCGAAACGTCGGCTGAATAAAAGACTTGGTCGTGTAAAAAGAGTCTCTTCACTCCGTGTCTTACTAACCTGATGATATTCACGGAAAAACACGCTTGTGCATGGTTCAACACACGATAAGGGTGTTGTAGATGTCGGGGGGGGGGGGTCGATGGTTTGCTTTAGTCACGGTGTAAGGATGGGGAAATTGCTGTGATGTGTACGTATATCCTTTTTATGTCGTAACTATCCTTTTGCAATTTCCCATTGAATACGAAATGCCGATCTAATATCATGAGCAAACCGACTCATGTGCATGCACACGCGTTGGTTGAAACTGACATGACATCTTTTTAAAAAATATCTTCTTGTTGGCGCTGTGCATGTGCAGGCTCCATCGGAGATGACAGTGGGGCAGCCGCAGCGGGTGACAGTGGAGTTCACTAACCCGTTCGACGTGAAGCTGAAGGAGGCTGTGTTCCGTATCGAGGGCCCCGGGCTGAAGAGGCCCAAAACCATTCCCCATCCGTAAGTTTGTTAACAGTATTGTCTTAGATTTCTTAGCAGGAACTCACCTTATCTTGAAAGAGTTCATCTGTGTTGGTAGAAGTCATTATGAAGCAAGTTTAAACTGTAATTTCCAACACAAGAAAATGGACTCACCCAAATTTTCGACTGTACAACTCCAGTCTTTGTCAAGGAATGAACAATCCACCGCAGATAACACACGTGATTCCGTGAGCAGTGGATCATAGGTTGCAGAAAGTCTGTGGCGCCCCCCCCGTCTCTGTTGAAGGATGGTTGTAATGCCCTGATGTAGATGGCCTCAGAACCGGACTTCTTTGCACGAGGGATTAAAGAGGCTATCTACATCAGGGCTTTACAACCATCCCTCAACAGAGACGGGGGGCGCCACAGACTTTCTGCAACCTATGATCCACTGCTCACGGAGTCACGTGTGTTACCACACAGACGCCGCTTTAACAAATGTTCGTACAGCACGATGTGTGAATATTTGTCTCCCGATTGTCAGATAAGCTTTACCTTCTGTTGAATCGATATCGCAAATTCTGACTTTGGTCACAAATCCTCAAGTCTTGATCCTGAAACATTATTGATGTTCTTTGTAGGCAAATGCCTTCTTGTATCAAAGCCACGAGGTTACGGTTTACAATATGCATATTTGGAACGCCATAGTCTCTCCTACAACTCATTGTTTGAGATATCGACTGCCAAATACCACCACTATGTATTGTTTTGTTTGAATTGTTACGGTAATATATGCTATCATAAACAGCATCAAAATGTAGCTTTGTACTTTACGGCTGCCAGTAATGCTGTTGTTGATATAAATAAATAAATAAACAAAGCAATAAACGCCATTTTCCTCTCCTTAGCGCCATCGGACCCGGGAAGACAGTGACTGTGGTGGAAACTGTGACGCCCGTGAAGGCCGGAAAGAAGACCATCGTGGCCTCCTTCACGTCCGACAAGCTGCAGCAGGTCACCGGGGAACAGGAAGTCGTGGTGAAGCAGGCCTAGTGGTGAAGCAGGGATAGTGGCTCTGTCCCTGGCCATTAGTGATGTTTCAGCATCAACCGAGAGAAATGATGATTTTCACACTTCCCATAATGCATAGTGCAGGTCACGGATATGACGTAAGAAGCGGATAGACTACAAACAGAACTGACATGATGGCATTTCAGTAGATATCCAGTTCTTCTTCTTCTTTCGTTTGGCATAGTTATTACTCTTCGTCATATATGTAGGCAAGTTGTTTACAAGCCTATATAGCTCACAGTCTCCAAAATGATGAATACCCAGTTGAATTTCAGCGTTAGGCGTTAGTCGAAAGTGACTTACCCACTGAGAACTATCATGGCGCCGTGTCCAACACTAGGCATTATGGGAAGTGTGAAAATCATTAATGGCCGTTTGGCCATTCGGCAACTTTTTTCTGTGAAAACTGAGCCACCAATATTTTTTCAGACAAATTTTCAACGGAGCTTAGCATAGTTTTTGCATATTTCGTATTTTTAAAGTAGGGACTGATAAGGTAAGATAATGGTGTGTTATAATATGACAATGACTGGTCGGGTATATCGATGGTGTAATATGATAAATGCAGCGATATTTAATTATCATAAGGCATGGTTTGCAACAGTATAATATATGTAATAGATTCAGTTACCTCAATACTGTACTTAGAAAACCCAGATGTGCTAATCTCTGGGACAGCAATTATTAGTAACGCTTACATTATACGATAATTTCAACAATGTTGATCTAACAACAATTTATTAAAGGTTGTTGCTATTTGGTGTCGCTACACGATGTCCACACTCTGTTTTGTGTGCCCAATCTCGTCCATTCCTAAACATAGCAAATGTCGTACAGAAATATTTTAGGCTTATATAGATAGTCTTACCAAAAATTACCAAACCAATTAAATTTGCAACTGCAGTACACCAACAGGGCACCAACTCAGAATAAAGAGGTCCTGGGTTCGAGTCCTGACATGCCACCAATCTTTTGCCCTTGGAAAAGGCACTTTACACGGCTTTCCCCACTAGACTCTGAAAATGAGTATTGCCTGCCCAGTATTCGGTTTAATGTGTGGGACACAACACCAGCAACAGCTGCCTCTGTTCCTCGTGTATTGCACTTGCAATTTCAATATATTAAATCAAATCAAATCAAATCAAACCAGGGCAAGAAATTAATATACGACTGCAGCATACCAAGACAGCAAACACATTTACCAACCGACCGACCAACGAACCAACGAAGGAACGAACCAACGAAGGAACGAACCAACCAACCAGCCAACCAACCGACCGACCGACCGACCGACCGACCGACCGACCGACCGACCAAACAAACAAACAAACAAACAAACAAACAAACAAACAAACAAACAACTAAACCATGACCTAGATAGTGGTACAGAAGTCATACTATATAAAATGCGTTCTTTCTTTTCCTTTAAGAGCGCATCAGCTGTCTTATCATTTATCTTATCAGACCTGCGGTGACATTCAAGACTAACCAGTTTCGCAAGTCGCCCACTAGCTATCCTCAAGGCCTGAGAACAATAGGAGTCAGCCCCTGCACGTACAGGGTCGTCTCAGTCGTCCGCACACCTCCACACGGGAAGCACCATGGCGAGTAGACCCTATGGCTTCGGCTCCGGCCGCGTCAGCAGGCCCTACTCAATGTTTCCGATGATTATAGTGAGACCACCTTGGGAACCGCCGCCGTTTTTTCCGCCGCTTGTGCCGCCGGGACCGGTGCCGTTGCCGCCCGAAGAGCCACCGCCCCCTAAACGTAAGTTCATGATCACGTAAGGTGTCTTTTTCCACGGAATGAGTATTTGTTGAAACTTTGGAGTAGAATTTCACATTGTTTCTTTACTTCCGCGTGTGGTAGCGTGGAATATCTAAAGTTGTGAAACAACGTTGTCTTAAGCTTGGGGCATGAAACCTTGGGTTCGAGGTGGGGTGGACGCCACGTCCCAGATTTTTTCAGTAACGCCCGTGGCTACGTCTGGTGTCGTCTCAATCTTTTAGTCTGCATAAATATGTAATAAATTCCCGTCAGAACTTCGTTTCAGAAGTTCAGAACAACAAGGGGTGAAATATCGAACACAGGCACAACCTAGAAACCTTTGACTAGAGAAGTTTTGTCTAGCTTATAAGAAACGTTGGGGCCATGGTCTTACAGCTCGTTAATTTTACTGTGCCGAATTAGTCACGGGTAAGTTCCATCAGGAATTCTATATTAAAGGTTATGGATAGTTCAGTTCGTCACAACTCACGTGCAAAACTAATTTTCCTGTTGTAACGATATTTGTTCGTAGTCTCGTGAACCAGACATGTAGACTGTCTGGCCTGTATCACATTGAAAAGTCGAGCCAGAAAAGTTACGGTTGGATAAGCAAATGTCTTCGTGGAAACATATTAAAGGTAATTATATTAGCAATTTTTGTTCATTGGATCGTTACGTTATGGCCAGATCACCATAATAGCTTGTCGATTTAACTAACCAGATGCATCTAAACGAGTAATGTTATTTGTTGTTTTCGACAACATTTGATGTTTTTTTGAAACGATAATATTCACAAAGTGTTTAGCCATGCATGTTGTGATGTTGTCTGACATGTTTTGACATGTTTACCCCTTGTTAAGTTTCTTGACACGTATCTTGTCATGCAAGCTTACTCTGAAATACACATGTCATGTAAAGACCCAATAGTCTAGTTAAAGTCACCAACTGAGGGCCGCTCCATGATTCAACACTCTTTTCCGAGAAATTCATTCAATCATCAAAATAAATGATAGAATTCACCAACATTTACACAACACAGTTTTGTAACGAATGCCACGCCCCCCGTCTAGTGCTTGCCATACCCTGAGGCCTAAGGCCGAACCCTGAGCCCTATTATTAAAGGCTTTCTTCAGTCGTGAGGGCACTGAGGTGTTAGTGATGTTGCACAGCGGAAATGGGTAACGCCAGCCGGATATGGAGGTTTGGAATGGTCCATTTTACGGAATAGTGTACTGTGACACTTGTGGTTATTTTTTGATTTGGCCCTCTATCGAGGTCAACGGAACTGCAGCCGCCTTACCCTGGAATACAAACAAGGAAATCTTCACAATCCAAATCATACGGTGTACAAGCCGATACCTTTCTATACCACACAGCGCAGTTTACACATGGCTAACTCTCACATAAGTCGCTCTAGCCAGGATTCAAAAGTTTGTCTGTACTACTTTCTATACCCGCGTCATAGACCCCGCCCCCCCCATAAATACTGTGTTCTCGGGCCTTAAAATGTAGTCACGTGGCCGAGAGGTTATAGGTCAGCACAGGCCACTTGACTTGACGAGGGTGTTGTATTCATGACTTTCACACTTCCCATAATGCATAGTAAAGATCACGGATATGACGTATGACCACTTCTCCCCCTTCCTCGATGTAATATTTCCGAAAAACTGGTCAACTATATTGTTTTGAATTATTTATCTAGTATAAAGCGCATGCCATAATAGCATCTTTGTTGGAAATAGAGAAAATGACGTACCTTCTATCGTTCTACCTTCTCTCCTACTCGCACGGTCGCATTACGTGTATCCGCTTCTTACGTCATATCCGTGATCTTTACTAGGTATTATGGGAAGTGTGAAAATCATGAATGATACCCACTTGGTCCTACACTGAAAGCCATTATGGAAGCTAGGAGAATGTGAGGGGGTATCATGACGAGCCTCGTTTTCGTGCAAGAACACGTACGTTCGCGCTGTACTCTCGCGGGACCACTTTTCAAAATGGCCGCGGAGATTGGAATTACCGATATTCTGCTGAATCTCACACAGCTGCCGACCGTCCGCTGGTGCTGGTGGACCTCCTCTTCCACAAGGACGAGAACGGGCCCGCGCACCACACCGCGGAGTATCTGGAGAACGTCGTCGTGAGGCGCGGCCAGTCGTTCTCCGTGGGACTGCTGTTCGACAGGGACGTCGATCTGGAGAAGGACAAGCTGCTGATAGAGTTCCAGTATGGTCAGTATTATGAGATTCTCATTTAGGAAAGAAATCCAAATGCTAGCATTATTATCTGCTCGCTACAGACAAATGGAAAGACTGCAATATAGCTTCTAGAAATTCCTAACTTTTAGAAATGTCACTACAAAATGAACAAGTGTAACAGTCATATCCCATACTACTTTAGTAGTTAAGTCATCTAAATTTTTGTACTGAAATAAAAGTTGCCATCGTGACTATCTATCTTTATGCAATCATTGTGCAATGATTACTGATGGCGTCTCTAATGCGATTTCTTATACAGTAAAGATTCCAGCTTCCTGGTAATGTTAAAAGAGCAAACATGTACCTCTATTGCCAACAAGTCATGATCTTCATCGAGAACTAGTGGACTAAACGGTTTGCATGTGCATCTTCAGGCAACAACCCTCTGCCGAACAAAGGAACCATGTTACGGCTGCCTGTTGGAGACGCCAAGAAAGGCCAGTGGAGTGCCACGGTCGAAAAGGCAGAAGGCCGGAACGTTAAGGTGAAGATTATAAAAAACTATTTTACACAGAAGGAAGCACCATGATATACGCTAACACTTTGACCATGGGACACTGAGTAAAGAGACTCTTTTTACACAACCAAGTCTTTTATTCAGACGACGTTTCGGTGACCGTCTTTCACCTTCCTCTGGGCAATTCTGACTGGTTCACATTGCACTGCAGCACATGTGTCGCTGCTACAGATGCATTACCAAATATACAATATTTACACATCTACAAATTTTGTACATTTGGGAATGCATCTGTACTGCTGTAGCAGCGATACCTGTGCTGCAGTGGAATGTGAACCAGTCAGAATTGCCTTGAGGAAGGTGAAAGACGGTCACCGATACGTCGTCTGAATAAAAGACTTGGTTGTGTAAAAAGAGTCTCTTTACTCAGTGTCTTAGCAACCTGATGAAACTATTCACGGATGCCAACCATGTTCTAGAGAAGGCATGGAGACCATGGTCGGCTATGTGCCACAGGACTTTATTTGGAAGACTACTGATGACCACATTACTCAATATTCACTCAGGGTTGGACAAGTTTTCAAAAATCCACTTGCCCTATTGGGCAAGTAAATGGACATCTCCACTTGCCCGAACTAACTTTTCACTTGCCCAACATAAACGACATTTTTATATGCATTTTCACTACCAGCAAGAAAACTATTTTCATTTTAGAGTTATCAAAATAAGGTGGTTTGAGACTGAATATAATATCATTATGGCCAAATCATGAGTAATTTTGCTCCAAACACCATTGCGGGTATACTTTGCATCCCAAAAATTTACTTTCCCAATCGGGCAAGTACAGGGGGATATTCACTTGCCCGAACTGTACTTTTACTTGCCCTGGGCAAGTGGGCAATGGGACTTGTCCAACCCTGCAATGTCATTGGTTTCACGTTGTATCTGTTCCCTACAGGTGAACATCACGCCACTTGCTGATGCCATTGTCGGCAGGTATCACGTGGTGGTTGAGGCGGAGTTGGCTGGAGAGAAGTCCCGCAGCTTGAGAGTCAACACTCGCAACGTCGTCGTCCTCTTCAACCCCTGGTGCAAAGGTTAGGCCACTATTCAAAGGCCATTTTTTTACCGTTGGGTCCTAAAAACTGGATTTGCATGACTTATAATTGGGATATCATCATCATCGGTCGACCGTATTGGTCGGGGTTATACCGCCTCTTACGAGGTGACATTATGACCCTTTCGTTAGCTTAATACAAGACGGGGTTCGCCACGCCTCCGTCCGGGTGATGATGTAATCACCATGTGTGGTGATGTAATCACCATGTGGCTGATACGGAACAGAGGTTCGCCAGGCCTCCATTCGGGTGATTTGAAGTGAATCACCAACTCCATACAGTAGTGTTTGTACCATCGCACACCGGGGCATGCCCCTACTCTTTTTCGAAAGGTTTGGTGGGATCTTTAACGTGCGTGGGGTGTGGCTCTCCCCAAACACGGGACCTCCATTTAACGTCCTATCCGAGGGACGTCCCTAGCCGAAGCTAGGTACTCATTTTCACCTGAGTGAAGTGAGCAAAGTCGTGTAAAGTGCCTTTCCCAAGGGCACAAAATCGGTGACAAGGTGGGGTTCGAACCCACGACCTCTGGGGTGTGAGCCGAACGCGCTACCGATTGCGCCACACGACGAATTGGGATATAATCCATGAAAATAATGATTTGAACGAAATCTATCAAAGATATCTTACTGACATACTTCTTTATCCATTGAATTCGTTATCCATGAAACAACTAATGAAAATTTTCGGCGCTCAAAAGTCATTCAACGATGGCCATCACAGTGGAAGAGGGAGGGGGGAGGGGTAAGGGCACGGTCACATTTCCAAGCCGGGGCCCGGCCAGGTTGTTTGCGTAAACGAAAAATAAACAACTTGTATAAAGAGTATACACAAATAGTGCTCATGGTTAGTTTTCTAAAACTTTTTTTATGTGTTTTGCTGTCTTATATCATAATTTTTGACTGCCAGTCGGGCCCCGGGTTGGGAAATGTGACCGCGCCTTAACAGGATCACTAACTGACCTCAAGTATACCACTACTACGAGAATGAAAGCTACAAAATTTAATCTTGTACGACAGATGTATTATTTATTACGATGGCAGCAGATGAGAAAATGAAAGCACAAAATACAAATGTATACATTTCCAGATGATCTGACGTACCTGGATGACAACGCCAAGCTTGAGGAGTATGTTCTGAATGAGTATGGGTACCAGTACTTCGGTAGCCGGTACAGCATTGGAAACCGTGGATGGAACTTTGGACAGGTGAAGTTGCTTTGTCAAATAAAACGAAATTCTCCATTTCATTCTCTTTCCCTTCCTTTCATATTGTGTATGGCGATATTTCAGAAAGGAACTCTAAAGTTGTGTACATTTGTACATCGAACAGCAATGGTCAAATGAAGGCGGTGAACTCTAGTTGCCTGATCCATGTTGTTGAAAATTGTTCACACACAGTTTGAACCCGGCATCCCCGAGGTCGTTCTACTGCTGCTGGAGAAGTCAGGACTCTCTGCCAATGCACGAAGGAGCGCGGTGAACGTCAGCAGGGCCATGTCGAAAATGGTAAGTTGTTTTTCCTGATCGAATCGAGAATCTGTCGTATTTGTTGCTTGATTGAAGCTTTTGTAGAATATCTAAGAGCTGTGTCCTTCTGTGTATGAGGCGCGTGTCATCTCTCAATGGTGCAGGTCAATAGTGCGGATGATAACGGCGTCCTGATGGGCAACTGGTCCAACGACTATTCCTTTGGGACCCCGCCCACTGCCTGGAACGGTAGCGTGGACATCCTGCTGCAGTGGGGCACTGAGCGCCGGCCGGTGCGGTACGGGCAGTGCTGGGTCTTCTCCGGTGTCCTGACTACAGGTACGTACTACCCTGGATGCCAAACTCGTTTCGCGCCGCTAGCTGTTCCCTTCGGCAGCCAAGAGCCCTTCGCCCGCCTGTCTAAAATTACCGCTACGGGGAGGAGACTAGCCCCGGG